GAGAAAACAAATGAAACAACAGGAATTTCCTTTTGGCTCAGCAGGTTGCTTCCTGTGAGCCTTTTCCCCTGTTCACTAGATGCCTATATGGATTTGTTATATATTTTAGGTTCAGCAAAGAGTGTGTCAGGGCCTTGACTTTAAAGTTCACAATTTTCCTGTAAGTGAAGAACTAGCAGCCTGTCCAAGTATGAGGAACATCAAAATGCTGAGTGCTGCAGTGCTCATAATTTATGCGCGTTCTGCTCCAGTCTGAATTCCATAGAAGCACCAGGTATAAAACAGGGAAAAGGCACAGGCTGAAGAGGCCTTCAGCACTTGGAGATTGCAACAGCTAGCATGCCAAATCCAAACACCCTTACTGGGGCTTTACTGAAGTACCTCTAAAATTGCAATTAGGAGCCTAATAAAAGCTTCTTGCAAGTATGTTCTCCTGAAAGACAGATATTCCTACCAGGGAAGACAGTTTCCTTGTTCCAGTGGATATCCAAATGATATGGTTATAGAGTTTTGGGGAGGCTGAGTGTTCCTCTCATGCTAAAATGTGGGCTCACAAAGAGCAGAGTCCAGATGATCTTTGGAATTAGGGACACAGCTCAGCTCCCACAACTGTCACTGTGTTGCTTCAGATGACGCACAGAAGGCGAATTCCCTCTTTTCCCTCAGGTTTCTACTGTCAGTTCATCCTGGCTGTTGCAAGTGTGTTTGAGTCCCCCACTATGCCTGAAATACTCCAATACAGTGGCTAAGGCACATAGCTGAAGGTTGAACTCACCACATCTACCAGATTAAGGACAGCCTAGATCCCAGGAGTGTGGTTTGACATACAGTAGGAGTGCTCCCCCTGGGATGTCTAGTCCAGCCCTATAGCCCTTTAAACTTTGCCCTTAGCTGTTTATTCCTGTTTATTCCTACTTCCTACCAGCCTTCCAGTGGCTCAATATTTGTATTCAGTGTAACTCACAGCAGGGAAACTATTCAGTCAAAAAATACCTTGAGGGGAGGTTAATTTAAAAAAAGAAAACAACCACCAAACCAAAAAGGAATTGTTTCCTCCATCTGTCTTACTGTGTGGATGTATGCAAAGATTTATATTAACACAATACAGGATCCTCTAGAATCACAGAGTAAGAGACTTGATGGAGGCTGAAGTTCACACTCATGAAAAGTACCTGCCAAACCTCATCTAGGCTAACACATGCACTAATTCAGCCTGTGCCTCATGCACTCACAGAATCTGTCTCAAGAATGTGCTGTGCAGCCTCCCAGGTGTGCAGGGAGCACAGAATAGAGACAAGTGTGAATGTGAATCCGTTTCAGCTCAGTGCTGACAAATGAGGTTCTGTGACACCAGGATGATTGTCCTCTGCATCTCCTGCGACCCCAGTGGGGAATGAAGCTGCCTAGACATCCAGCTTGGTAAAGAATGGGAACAAGACAGAGCATGCTCAGTCGAACTATTTTCAGCGTGTACATACATTTCTGGTGTCTCCAGTGTCCATACATGTTCTAAAAAGTGTTTTACAGAAAATTGTTTTCTGCTCGAAGAAACTTAAATTTACAGCCCCCATGGTAAAACAAACCACGCCCTCTGTGGGCAGCTCCTTTGGCTTTACCAGGCTTGTGCAAAGGCAAATTAAGATTGCCAACAGTCTTCAAACTACTGAAAGCAAAAGTGCTTGTTACACCAGAAGGGAGGATGTAAGGATGTAAGGATGTATGCCGATATGTAATTGAGACAATACTATGTTGTTGGTAGACACATTTTTGTATAAAAATAAAAGCCAAACAGAGGACAAAAATAGGTGCACCTTGATGGAAACTCCTGGAGTGGATACAGAATTTGCTGCAATATTTAACCTCATGCAAACAATCACCTGCTTTTATGAAAATGTCTTTCAACCTGACTTCCAAATATGCTAGAATTATCTGCTTTACTGGAGTTAGCATTTCTGTTTGTGTATAAAGAGAGATCTTTTATCAGCCTACAAGAGAACTGTGGTTAACCAAGGTAAATGAAAAACATCCAAAACCAATATTTCTACAGTCAGGCCCAGAAAGGACAAAGTTACTTCTAATAGCTGGATTTGCCCATCATATACTCCAAGGCCACACCTTGATGTATCTTATTTGCATGTTGTTTAATACTATAGCATCCCAATCTCTGATGCAGTGTGTTAAGCAGTATCGAAATTCACATATGAAAAATGAGATGGAAAGACTGACAGGAGGAATGCTATGAACCATGTAAATACAGAACTTCGTATGCTTCTGAACAGCATTTGTTATATGTCCACCTCCTCTCTTATCTGAGCTGTCATTGTCTTACTGCTTCTATGCTGATGCACAGAAATTTGCTTCCAAGCAATGAGTGGGCTAACAGCTCTGCCCAGGGATAGTATGGGAGAAGTAATTTCATTCCTTGGATACAGTTCAGTGGGGAGAGAGGGTATTGCTGCCTGGAAACTTTGTGCAGTGAGAACTCTGAAAATTCTAGCCACCTATTCAGGATTCACTGAAACTGACAGCTCAGCTTGAGTTACATGAATTCTGGTTGAATGGCTCCTGCTGATGTGGAGATCAGCTCTGGAGTGCATGTGAAGTTCATAACAGCTTAGGGTACTTAAAATTCATCCGACATTCATCAGACATGTTCAGGCCTTGGACGGATGCACAGAAAATCTGAAGCAACAACTTACTAAGCCCTGTAATACAGGGGACATTTCTTGGTGAGATCTCTTAGAAATAGATAAAGCATGGCAATATCTAGCTGATAAATTAGTGATCAGAGAAGTGTAACTGATGGGAATGGCACTGCATTGGAAAGAGCCAACACAGCAGTGGCAAAAGCTGTGAAATAAGGAGCATAGTTGAAAGTTGCACAGAACAGGGCAGTATGTTTGAATGTGATACAGTGATGCTGGGGAGCCAATGGAGGGCCTTGCAATATTACGAGGATATGAATGCTCAAGATGTTCGCAGTATCTTTTATTTTCAGACTTCCATGCTTTTGTGGCTATTACAAAAACAAATGAGTTTCTGACTCTTGGAAATTCTCTTTTTTGTGATGCAATTTGGCTCTTCCACTATCGTGCAAAGTAAGCCTCTTCAGCTTCATATCCATGAGCCAGACTTAGTTCTAGGACTGATTCCACTAAGTCTTCCACAATCAGCAGGCTTGTTACCATTTGTTGGTGTTTCTTCAGAAATGTGTATTTAGCTTCATTTCCTTCCAAGAACTACTCTGTATCTTATTTCACTGTCTCAAAGACTGACCTCTCATGCTACTGTATAAGACTTAGCAATGTGATGCATCCATCGCATGATGATTAAGCATGTGCTGCCCTTTACACTGCCAGTTTAATCACCTGTGGGATGGCACAAGTGCCTAGGTTGAAAAATGGGCCTGCAGCTGTTAATCAGTTTACAACATGCAGATTGTTTTAGCAGAGGATCTTTAGCAGCAAGTCCCATTTCAGGCATTGGTTCACTGTAGCTACTGTAGACATTTGTAACTGAGATATTAAGACTCATCTGAATGAAATACAAATGAAAATGCCTGCTTGTGGTAGCATCAGAAGCCACACTAGAGCAAGGGTGGAAAGAATGAGCATTAATGGACATGATGGCCATGAACGATTGCAGTCAAATCAAGGAATGGTGAGGAGTGTGCTGTTTACATCAAGATCATAAGACAAGACCAAAAGTTCAGTTCCCTTGCTCTAAATAACCATAGCATAGGCAACTTGTCACCCCTCCAAAACCATGTCTGATAATATGGCCTCAGATAACATCTTCCCAAGACAAAGACAAACAGTAGCCATAAAGACATGAAAATAAGCAAAAAAAGGCAACAGACAGAAATTTTTCCAAAGGTTCTGTAAGGCAAGGAAAGGTCAGAAGCAAAATCATTACATAACAACTACTTGTTTCAGGAAGATATAAAAGGCCTGTTCGAAAGAATTGTTTGTTGTTGCCAGTCAAGACAGACCCAATGCACTTTATGAAGACTTAACAGTTGGTACCCCTTGTCCTCTGTTTTACGGACAAATGACCCTGGTCAGACACAAATATCTTAACACTTGGCAATGTGTGGCAATGCAATCCATCTCCTATCATCTCTGTTCTGCCTGGGAGAAGCTTTACCTTCACTGTTGACCATAAGAGTCTTATTAGTGGTAGTGAATCCAGTATTTCAACATCATGCATTTCCCAGGCATCTGAGGTACGTTTTTTTTTCCAGTGGAAGGATTGCAAGTGCCTTAAATTTAATTGGTTTTGGCAAGTAGTGTTTTTCTTTCCATTTCTTTTTAAACTCGTGGCACTATCAAAGTTAGTTCAGGTCAGTAGATCAAAGTCCTTCATCGCTTTTCCCTGCAAATGCAAAAACCACAATAGACAGCATGGTTTTCCTTCAGATGAGGGAGACCAGGCAAGTTTTTGAAGCCCTTTAGCAATATATTGCCAACCTGTCCCTGAGTTCACCAGCATAGGTCCCTAATGATGAAGAAAATTCTCTGTATTTGAAAAATATTAATTACCAAGAGTTTATTTGTCTGGAGTCAGCAACCTCATTTCAAAGAAAAGCTCTGCACCAACTTGACAACACAGGGATGCTTCCAATGAGACTTTATAGGAAAGAACAGTTGTTTTGCGAGTACCAAAATACTTGCACTATCCACAGTACTCAAGGTTATTTGTGGCATGAACGGAGGTTACTCCTGCGTTTATCACAGCCCATGTGAGTTTTGTTATTGGCTTTCCTGAATACATTCAGTCAGAACAAAATTTGCTTTGTTGATTCTATTATATAATCCTTTTTTTTCTAAGAAAACAGGAATAGATAGTCCATAAAATCAACCATTGGCAGACCTTTGCTGGCACTACTACATATTCACAATCTCTGGTTTTTGTAAATGCTGGTAGAAGTACTACCTTTCACACTTCTGGTTAAACTGTATGGTTTGTAAAATGCGTGCACAACTTCTCAGCAAAGGAAGTTCTTTAATATTCTTTATTGCCTGGAGGAAAGTGGGTGCCAAATACAACTGTGAAATGGGAAACAATGCACAAAGGAAAAGTTCCAGAACATCAACACATCCGTTCCTTTTCCCTGCCATAAATAACCAACACACCCTTAAATACAAGACTAAATGGCTCCAGGAAACTCTCATTAATGAAAACGTCCTAGCTGGGCTTCTCACTTTCATTTGGAATTTACATGCCTCAAGAAGTTTTTTCTGACCTAGACAGCAGATCTGTTGTTCTCTAAGTAATACTAAGCCCTGAGACAGACTAAGATAAACTCAAGCTAGCCTACTCTCCGTAGAGATTAAAACCTTCCTCTTTCACTGTCCAAAATATTAATGCTGAAAGGCACAGCCCTGCTGCTGTTGACATCAACAACAAGATCCTACACTGAGTATATAAAGACACAGTTGTGCATTACAGACCTTCAGTTTTCTGGAAAACTGAGATAAGGCAGGAAGCAAAATAAATGGTCTGCATATATGTCCTATGTGCAGATAAATTTCATAATAAAGTAGAGCAGCTATGATATTTTATGGGGAAGGTGTCATGATTAGATTGGATGCATGGATAGCATACTTCCTGCAGATCAGAAGTAGTGGTGTAACTAGGCCAGTCTTTTGCCTAGTCTAGGGGATATTTATATTAAAATTAGCATATTTCACTGTATAAAAAAGAGATAACTGATACCACTTGTAGTCTTCTCACCTTGAAACTTGTGCTATATAGTCTTATTTTAAACAGTATCAGATCTAAAAAGTTTCTTAACTTTCAACTGAGTCATTAAAAATTGAATCATCAATACAATATCAAAATCTTAAAATAACTTCATGAACTACCCCTACCTCTGATTTCTCCTGGCAGCTTCTTCTAATTTCACAATCACGTTTTCCTGCTTAAAAAAAATGCAAACACCCCCAATTCCTGTATGGGATGTCTGTAAATCACAGGGAAGCTACCTTACTATTTAAGAAGAAAAAAGTAGTAAAAATGCTTAAGTTTGTGATCTAGAAAATTTTCCAAATCTTCCACAACTACTGATGGCACCATATACATGATGGTACCATATATAGGGCTTTCTAACAAGTACAATGTCTGTGAGCCTTTACTAAAGTTGAAATAACAGGAGCTGCAGAAAAGAAAGATGATACAATTTCATGTAATGTTTTCAATGCCTTTGAAAAAAGTCCTTGTATCATCTGTGGGTCTATAATCCACGGCACATGTGCATTCTGCATCTCCTGAGCCTTGGATGCAGACTCTAGGGAAGGCAACAGGCTTCAGTTAGTGAGATCTGGAAATGGAGAAAGGCAGAGGCAGTCCTCTCTTGGACAAGGGTGTACAATGCAATGTCCACTTTCTTCCCAAGCTTCATGGTGCCATGAGTATTCCCAGTTTCATTGTGATCTGGCTGCTGTTGCATGGAAATAGGGTAGGAGGCCTTCTAGGCTTGAATGGGAACTAAATAGAAAGATTTTCTTAGGTAACTGGCATATCAAACCTCTTTGTGCCTGGAGTGAAGTCTAGACCACAAAATTAGCCATCCAGCAGACCTTTTCAGGGGTGAGAGATTTGGCATTGTGAAAGGCTGACTGATGTGCTGGAAAGGCAACTGCTTAAACCTACTAAATAGAAGATGCCTAATAGGATCTTCTCTTAAAGTCTGTCCTTCGGTGGAGTTAAGAGTGTTTCAATGTGCATCAAGAGAAGACACCACGTTGTGCTCAGGATTCACAGCCTAGGGCTTTTCTTCAAATCATGTTTAAAAAAATCCAAGAATGGTATGTGGATAAGGAGACTCAATCCTTCTTGAGGTGATGCAGGCCAACCCATAGACAAGTCTCAGCGTTCAAGGTCTGAAGTCAAGAGTGTCCTTGAGCCAGAACAGATCTGAAGTCACATATCTTGATGTATGACCCAACCACAAGGTTCATAAGATGCAATTCTGTTTGCACAAGCAAAAACACTGGAAAGAAGAGGAAACAGGGGCAGATTTCTTCTCTACAAAATAAACTGTATTCACTTAGACCAGGCAAGCTATATGCAGGACAGCAGGACAACGTGGATTTGGGGACCTGAAATCATCTACTGATCCAAGATGGAACACAAGTCTGGCCCAGGATTTTCATACAATGCAGCTCCCTGTAATATGGGTTCTGAGACAATCAATCTGCAGCAACTTGGAAGCCACAGCAGGAAAACCTAGGCAGAAAAACACAAGGAAAATCCAGCAGTTAGTTTTTCTCCCCATTCTCCTGTGGTTGACTCGGGCACAAGAGAGGAGCCACAAGCTTGCCAACTGTACTGATTTTATGGGTCTCGTGGCATATTTTTTTTTTAATTGCTAGACTCTTGAGACTGTGGGATTGTGAAGATTTCAAGTTTAATTTAAAAGAGAGGCTGGCATGCAACTGTTGTGGCTTCCATGAAATGCTGGAGGTCAAGCCCCAGACCTCAAAAACTAGAGGCAAATACAAAAATAAAATTAGTCAAGAAGGGCCTGGGTCTGGAGGGCTAGGCCCACTGCGTCAAACCCTGGAGGGCTGGCAGCGCTGGAGACATTCAAGACACTTTTCTAAGAATAATATCTGACCGTGTCACAGAGAGAACCTGAAAGGCTCAGATCATATCCGTGACTTCACCTTCCCCCGCAGGGCGCTCGCCACAGCCCGCCGGGGACCCAGCCACGCCACCGAGTGTCCCCAGCAGCTCAGTCCCCACCACACCCCGGCGACACGACTAACGGGGCCCTGCAGCCCAGGGCAGCTCCGACCCGGCAGCACCGGGGCTGCAGCAACGACAGGGCCGGGCCGGGCCGGGCCAGGCGGCGGGAGCCGGCGGTGCCCGGGGCAGGGCCGGGGGCGGCGGCGGGCGGTGCACAGCGCAGGCTCCGCCCGCGGGCAGCCCGCCAGCCCCGCTCCTCTATCCCTCGCTCCCTCCCTCCCTCCTTCTCCTTCCCTCCTTCCCTCCCTCCCTCCCTCCCTCCGCGGCTGCATCCCTCCTTCCTGTCGGCGCTGCGCACTGCTGCCCGCCGGAGCTGGGCCGCCGGGAACGCGCACAGCCCCCGCACCCCGCGGAATGCGGCCGCCACAGGGCACGGCGAGGCGGCGGCGGGTGAGTGCCAGGACCCGCTTGCACCTGGGAGGGGGCGGCCCGAGGGGCGCAGTGATGGATGTTCCCTCCATCCCTCCCTCCCTCTGCCCGCCCCGGGGAGGTGCCGGCCGGGAGGGGCGGCGGGGGGTGTCTGGCGGCGGGGATTTTCGGAGACCCTGAGCTCGCCTCGCTGGTGTCCTGCGGCTCGGCACTCGGTCTGGGCTGGGGACAGGTGGGGGCGGGGGCGGGGGCGCGGCGCGGTCGGAGCCGGTGCGGGCGCGGAGCGGGGCAGACCCTCCCCCGAGGGCGCCGGGGGAGACCGGCGGCTCCTCTCCGCCGCTGCCCGGAGCCTGCGACTTAAATAGAGGCTGTGTTTTGTCAACAGCTCATTCTGCTGGCCGGCAGGTTGGCTGGTTCAAGGACTGAGCGGCGGGTAAATACTATTTATGCCTCTTTCTGTGATTTTATTTTATTTTATTCTATTTTATTTTATTTTGAATAAGCAGCACCCTTTTGAAAAATGGGACCTTGGGAGGACAATCCAGAGTCCCTTCTGCGTTTGGGGAGCATCCAGACATGCTGGGCGCCTCGCTGCGCACTGGCTTTGCAAGGACTCCGACGCAGTGGAGACACAGCTTGCTGTGTCTGTTTTGAGTGATTGAATTTCTGATGTGTGCAGAGATCGTGTTTGAAAACGGATCTCTCAAAGCCTCTGAGGTAGTTCTGAAAAGACGTTATTCCCTTGTTAAATTTCAACGTGTGTAAGTATATTTGGATGAGGCATATTGTGCTCGCATGCTGTGTTTTGCTTTGGTAGGAATTGGTTATATGCATGGTTTGTTTTTTAATTGTAGTCAGTGGTGAGTGTCTGGGAAGTTTGCTATCAGTGGGAGTAAAGCTCTGGATAGATATTATAATCATCTAGTACTGGGGAAACTTGGACCATGAGCTGTTGTTAAGAGTTGTCACTTTGATTCTTTTCCACAGACTTTCGCACTTAAAATCACCATTGAAAAAATAGTCAAATATTCATATTCAGTAATCAATCCATGCCCTGGCAAATTCCCTTCAGAGAAGCATGGGCATGGGGTAGATTTCTGCTGTCTTTGAAACCCAGCTTGACCCAAATAAGGCACTGTGACTTGCCTTTGACATCTCACCTGGCAGTCCGTTCTGCCTTTTCTCCTTAATGTAGAAGAATTCTTCAGATTCTTCTCAAACCCTTAGTTCAACCCCACAGCATGAATCCAGAGTGTTAATCAGACTTAGGAGGTTTAGTAGCTGTGGGAAAGATTAAAGTATATGTCATGCCGTGTTCCCTCTCAAACCAGCATGTGGCAATGCCAACTGAGACAGTACGTTGCTTGATGTAGATCCATCAGTGTCCACGTGCTTTATATATAAAGCTTAGCACATCCTGTAGGGAAGAATGCATGAATGCCTTGATCTGCAAAAAGTCTGTGCTTGTACTTAGCTTGTCAACCATTGTATGCTGTATGCTTTTGGTGATAAAGATAAGCTTTGATTTTTGTTGAACTCTACATAAAGCTAAGCATAGACATAGAAGTCATTTGGATTTGACCACAATGTGAATCAAAATCAAAACAAAAATCATTTATTTGATGAGGGGAAGGATTTGGATGTGGAAGAGGCAGAAGCAAATGCCATAAGTTGACTCACAAAATGAGTAGCGCCATATCTGCAGTTGGTTGGTATTTCTTGGCATGAGTTGCCTGTCATTACCTGGAGACAGGACTGTAGATTACTCCTGAGAGGTCTAAGGAATGACAGTCTAGTGTCAGTAGACTGCAGGTCTATGATCTAAGCTGGAAAATGTTGCAGAAATGGAAGGCTTAAAAATCCCTGAGTTGGAGCTGATTTGGAGCATAACTTTTAGGGAGTCACCTTATTTTGTTTATTTTCTGTTTACCAAGTCTTTGCATCCTTTCATCTTGTTGCTGTTTCACCTATTCAAACTTTAATCAGTGTTATTAACTGATAACAGTTTCCATTGTGCACTCTCCAAACACGCGGCTTTAGTCACCTAGAGCAACCCATGGCAAGCACTATCTATGAGTAAGATTGTGCAAAATCCCTTTACAGGTGTGCTGTGGAAAGGGAGAGACTTAACCTTTAGGTGAGGGCATTCTCAGAGAGTTGCCAAAGGCAAATAAGGAATACATGGGAACAGCAATTTGGGTGGAGATGCTCTTCTGAAAGAGAGGAAGACTTTTTTGCAGGTGGCAAAGCTGTTGCTGGTATTTTAGCAGGTATTCATAAGGCTTTAATTTTCAAGTGCTTGTTGAGTTACAGTCTATGGCTATAAGGTCACATCTATTTCAACATCTTGCAGCTCAGGGCTTTAGTAAATGTTCAAAAAATATCTGAATTTATTAACATCCGTAGGTAATGCTAGAACAGAGTTTCTCAATGTATTAGAAACAGCTCCCTGAGAGTATGAATGTTAGATTGTTTAATCCAGTGCGTGACTGACAGCAAATTTTGTGCCTTATGAAGATATATTTAAACTTCATGCGTTGGTAAGAATTCCACCTGGCAGTCTTAAGCAGTCTAGATGTGTGTAAATACCAGCTCTGTCTTGCAGAGTGCAGTGCATCACAAGGCTGATGAAGATGGATTACGTTTTTCTGCAAATGACTTAGTCGATGATGTGACCAGGTGAATGAGGTTCTTTTCCAGTTAAGCTGTGTGCTAGTGCTCAAAGAAATGCAGAGAAAATTCAGCAGTCAGTATCAGTGTTGATACATTAGTTGGATGAAAGTAAAAGTGATCTGATATAGTTTTAAATGATAGTAAGTAGTACCTTGCAATGTTTTTATTTGAGCTGTTGAAAGACAGGTTTTGGACAACGGAAGGGAAATCTGAAAAAAGAAACCAGAAAACTTCTTGGAATTAGTTTTGTTTCATTTTCAATAGTACATACTGATCTAGGATGCAGTACTAATTGAAACACTGGGATCTTAGATTCAGACGTGTTGAAATACAGAGAGGATTCAAGTGAAGGCATGTTAGCAGTAGAAGAAAAGGTCTGCTGAAGGAGATTTAAAGATACTTGAATAGGTGGGAGGATTGAGAATGCAAACAGAATACTGATGGCTCTTTGAGAGGGGATGCTGTTCCTCTGAGTTAGACGTTGATTCATTTGCAGGAAGATGTGGAGAATGGGTATGAAAGGCAATTTTACTCTGTTTACCATAACTAGCTAGAATTAGTTGAAATTATTCATGTTTTGGTGTCTCTCCCTCTGAGATTTACTTATGACTACTTTTTGACTGCCAGGCATCAAATTTCTGTCTAAAAATAAGAAAAATAAATTGCTTCTAGGTAGGACTTAAGAGGTGGTTGTGCTCTGTACTCCCAAGCTGTTGGATGCAATTTGTTCCGTTACCAATTAAATGTAAAAGACCAAAATCATCCTTGGAAGCAGGACCTAGAGTCCATAGTCCCTGGCTTCCAGTGAGTGCCTTCTCACAAGGACATGGAGTCCTGCTCTGAGACAGTGGTTACTTAAGCCTCAGAGAGAAATGCTATTGACAGAAAGGCTAGAGAAGTCTTCATCCTGACATCTGTCACTTTGAGTAGTCTCTGGACGTGGTCAGAGGTGTTTGCCATACCCCAGGGAGTGCTACAGTGTCTCAGCTGCCTTAGGAAAGGGAACACTCCTGCTGCTTTCTTTTTCTATGACTTAATACAAAAAGCTTCTCATTTTTCTGTGGAACCTGATTCTGTGGTTCTGTGCTCTTTTTATCAGCAGATACAGGCAAGGAGTAATTTCTTTGTGAATCTTGAGTGTCTAAGCATCAGGCAGGTGGTGTGGCCCTGTCAAACATGAGACTGCATCTGTGCATGCTGATGCCTACAAAATTTATCATCACCTCTCCTTTCATTTTCTTTTCCACCTCTCCAATACTTAGCTGCAGTTAAGTGGGATTTTTGAACATTTCTTTTGGTTGAAGCATCAAAAGTGTGGGGTTTATAGGTGCTTAAATGTCACCAGGGCTCATCTTCCAGAGTCTTATAGGTTTCTTCCAGAATTATTAGCATGGCAATGATGAGGGTCATGTAAGTTCCTAGATGAACAGATCTCTTTTTTTACCTACCCTTTGAGGGCTTTAGGGGCAGCTAGGATACAGAAAATGCAGAGGTTCCCTGTGTTCTTTGCTTTCCTTCCTTACTGACTTATTGTTTTAGAATGAATGATGTCTGGAGGTTCTTATGGCTGGCTAAGAAAAATATCTGGGGACTGTTTTTCATATGTACCATCAGTTTTTTGCTGATCATTGCTATCCTCCTTTCTCTGGAAAATTTGCAGTGCCTATATTTACAGACTGCGGGAGCCCTCCTGCGCTGTGTCTGTAAGGTCCTTGCACTCCTGCAAGCACCAGAAATTCTCAGCAGGGGGTTTTGCCACTTTGCTGCTGTCTGCCTTTCCCTGCTGCTGTCTCTTGGAATCACTCCTAGTAGCAGGTTTCACTGCAAGCAGAAAGTGCTTGAACTAAAAATAACTCCTAAGCCATTGGTATGAATGTTGGTCAGGGTGTAAGGTTTTGAAGGGCATATGTCTGCCCTCCTTTCCGTGCACTGTCTGGAGCTGGCACTGGAGTGGGGTCAACTGTTGCTACAACAGAACCAGCTTTCCCTTATCCCACAGGCAGAGAACTGCTGAGTTGTCAGCTGTTGAGTCCAAATTATGCCTTTTACCTCAGGGAGCACAAGTTATAAAAGCACGTGTCATGGAAACAAGGACAGCAGTGTGGCAATTCCCTGCTCCTTCTGCCTCACTTCTTACCCTGAAGTGACTCTCAGCACAGCCCACAGCAGAGGATGGACTACCTCTGTTGTCAGCTTGCTGTTAGTACCAGCTCCCCACTCTCTTGGGCTATATGTTGTCAGGGAGCAGAGTCTCCTTTCTCTCCTGTAAACCCAGCAATTCAGGGGCAGTTTCCTGCAAAACCAAAAGCGCAGCCTTTCAGCCAGCCTCAGTCTCCTGGTGTTAATCCTTAAATAGATAAAGGAGCACTTTCTTGAGTTTGATTTTTATGCTGCAGCATCTTCCTTGCCAGTAGGCTGCTTGTGGTGATACAGTAACGTTGGTTGGAATATTATTGTGAGGGTTTTTTTATTTTTTTTCTTTTGTGTTTGTTTGTTCATTTGGTTTGGTTTGGGCTGGGTTTTTCTGGGGGGAGGGCAGGGGACAAGGGAAATGATTCCATATTGATGAATAACGTTATACCAGTGTTCTCTGCCGGTATTGCTTACTGCGTTTTGATCATCAGTCAAGAGTACTTTCTTTTGGAACATACACATATTCCAAAATTAAAGGTATATATTTTTGCTTGCTTTATACCTACAGTTGCACTGATAACAGCTTTGTAATATTGACTGAACCTTGATAGTTTCATCTCAAGGTTGCCTGGTAGTTCGTAGTGCCTAATCATGGAATTTAAATAAAGCAATGTGTTTAGGTGATAAACACTGTCTGAAAAGTATGCTGGAATGCTTCTTATGCTTGCATAATTTTGTCATTATTGCACAAGTTGCTTAAAGGTACAATAAAAGTACGAGTAACAGGGATGATTGAAGGTGGTTTACACTGTCAGTCTGGCTCAGAAATTGTCCCTGTTTTACTTCTGGGCCACAGCCAGCCATTTAAGCTAGTTTTGCTCACTGAATAAATCTGTTACTTCCCTCCAAGAGGAAATACAAGCTCAGTTGACTAGATAGCATAGTTAAGGATAGTTAAGCATTTATTCTGGATGGCGTGGATATGGCCTATGGCAAGCTTGGCTAGGGTGGTGAGCAGAGCAAGCCAGCTCTATTCAAGCTGGCTTTATGCCCTTGAATGCCCCCCACATTGAGCCCTTGGGCATGACACACATTTCAGCCTAAAGCTTTAAAAACTTTTTTCTTTTCACTTCAAGGACTTTGAACTCAGAAGCGCAGGAAAAGCTCTTTTGGAGCCAGATGGTGACCCGGGCCACTTGCTGCAAAGATGTCCAGTCCAGATTTGAACATGGTGGTCTCAAATAGTGTGAAGGTGAGCCCATCTACAGCATTTAGGCTGTGGGTGAAGACACCTCCACGCTGCTGTCCATCAGGGTGGTCTGAGCATCTTTAATATTCATGTTTTCTGTAACTTTATAAGCTGCATTTCAAATTACTTGCATAATTGAGAGTTGCATCCCACATGCCTTGGAGAACCCAGATGAGAGGGAAATTTGGACGAGGGGAACAAGAGCCATGACTCTGCTCAGCATGTGGCTGGTCTGGGTAGGCAGTTTCCTTTTGGGGATGTTTGGTGGTATCTGCCTTAGCCTGGCAACCCTTCTCCCTTCCAAACAGGACTTAACGTGGTCATCCAGAAGCTCTTGTGCCAAGACAGCAGTGCTGCTCATCCTGTTATGTAACTGTTTGGATGGCAGATCATGGTTTTGCACTTCTTGAACTGAGTGATCTAATGGCCTCTCTTAACTGTAAAATCAGTGAGGACAGAGCTTAAAAATATCTTTCTTAAATAATTGGTTTTAATATTACTGCCGGGCAAAAAGGCTTCTTAAATCAAATAAATTTCAGAAGAAAATTATAGTGGTCAGTATTATAGGTGGAGCTTCTGCAGATTCTGAAGCCCAAAGATGAATGTAAGTTATAAGTGTTCCAATTGCAGCTAATTTTTACAATAATTCATGTTTTGGATCAAGTTCAGCACTTGCGGCAAAAGATATGTTTGACCTTTGAGGTTTTACAGCTAGTCTGGAGCTAAAACCAAGGAGATAAGCTTTCAAAGTTTAATTCTAGGCAGAAAAAAAGAGAGGAGGAGAGAGAGAAAAAAACAAAACAGAAATGAGATTTATATTGTAGACGTCAGTGTTGTCTTGAGTTGTGTACAACAAGAACTGAAGTACTGTGTGTGTGAGGTGACTGTAAATGTCAAACAAACTCTTTTACTCCTCATAGGGTTTCTTCTGGTTGTGAGGATAATAATATCTGTTCCCTGGAGTCTACCTGTTCCTCTTCCTTTTCCCCTTCTTCCCCCTGCTCCAAATGCTTCCAAAGGTCATGGCTCTGGGAAATCTTTTAGTGCACAGGTCTCAAGGCACGTAACTCATAATTCATCTGCTAGAACAGCATTGTCACAATTCCCAATATAGAACAGCCTTCTGCTCCAAGTTAAATGTGACTGACCTGTCTCTTTTTTCAAGATGATGGGAAATTTTTGGAAGAGAATATTTTTGACCACATGTTGCCACATATTTCAAATGAATCAGAATCAGTCTGAGTGTAAATCCAGCAAGGTGTCATGTGACCCTTATTTTAAATCTTACTTCAAAGTCTGTAGTTTGTCCCTTGTATATTGTATTTCTTCACCATTAAGATGCATATTTATGTGAGATCTCTTCATGATTTCTGCTATTCTAGTCTGACATTGGCATAGTATGAACTAAAGGCTTTAAGTGCAATCACACAGCGCCTTCAGGATGGACAAGGGATTAGACCCAGCCAGCATGGGTTTAGGAGGGGCAGGTCCTGTCTGACCAACCTGATCTCTTTTTACGATCAGGTGACCCACCTGGTGGATGAGGGGAAGGCTGTGGATGTGGTCTATCTAGACTTCAGCAAGGCCTTTGACACTGTCTCCCATAATATACTCCTGGAAAAGCTGGTAGCCCATGGCTTGGACAAGTGTATCCTCTCCTGGATTAGGAGCTGGCTGGAGGGTCGGGCCCAGAGAGTGCTGGTGAATGGAGCTGCATCCAGCTGGCGGCCGGTCACCAGTGGTGTTCCCCAGGGGTCTGTGTTGGGTCCAGTCCTGTTTAACATCTTTATTGATGATTTAGATGAGGGGATTGAGTCCATCATCAGCAAATTTGCTGATGACACCAAATTGGGAGGGAGTGTCGACCTGCTGGAAGGCAGGAGGGCTCTGCAGAGGGATCTGGATAGACTTGAGAGATGGGCTGATTCCAATGGGATGAAGTTCAGTAAAGCCAAGTGCCGGGTCCTGCACTTTGGCCACAACAACCCCCTGCAGCGCTACAGGCTGGGCACAGAGTGGCTGGAAAGCAGCCAGGCAGAAAGGGACCTGGGGGTACTAATTGACAGGAAGCTCAACATGAGCCAACAGTGTGCCCAGGTGGCCAAGAAGGCCAATGGGATCTTGTCCTGTATCAAAAATAGCGTGGCCAGCAGGAGCAGGGAAGTGATCCTTCCCCTGTACTCTGCGTTGGTGAGGCCACACCTTGAGTATTGTGTTCAGTTCTGGGCCCCTCAGTTCAGAAAGGATATTGAGGTGCTGGAGCGGGTCCAGAGAAGAGCAACAAGGCTGGTGAAGGGACTGGAGCATAAGTCCTATGGGGAGAGGCTGAGGGAGCTGGGGTTGTTTAGCCTGGAGAAGAGGAGGCTCAGAGGTGACCTCATCACCGTCTATAACTACCTGAAGGGAAGTTCTAGCCAGGTGGGGGTTGGTCTCTTCTCTCAGGCACTCAGCAATAGGACAAGGGGGCACGGGCTTAAGCTCCGCCAGGGGAAATTTAAGTTGGATATCAGGAGAAAATTCTTTACAGAGAGAGTAATCAGGCATTGGAATGGGCTGCCCAGAGAGGTGGTGGATTCACCATCCCTGGAGATTTTTAAACGCAGATTGGACGTGGCACTGAGTGCCATGATCTAGTAAATGGACTGGATTTGGACCAAGGGTTGGACTCGATGATCTCGGAGGTCTTTTCCAACCCAATTGATTCTATGATTCTATGATTCTATATAGGAAGCCCTATAATTGTAGTGAGCCCGTATTTAGAAGGTTTTTTAGGAATGCATCCAGTCTTATTTTTTGTTAATCAGTTCCCCCCTCCCTTGGAGAGTTTTGCCAATGCTTAATTAGTTTTACTTTTTGCAATGTTCACTTTTCAGTGGAGGTCTACTACGTGGCATTTCCTCTGGTGTCTTATGTGGTGGGTTAAGTTTAAATCCTTTCTCTGAGCACATAATTGAGAGCTGTGACCAAGCAACCTCACTGAACTAAATAGTTGCATTGTTTTAGCCTTTGCAACAACAAATGATCTCTTAGACCCAAACTGCTCAAAGTAATCATTTGATCCTTTTTATAAATCAACTTTGTACTGGATGAAACTACTTCCACTGCTAATGAATGACTAGTTTTTCTCTTGTGCTGTTGGATCAAGTGCTTTTGTAAGGTAACCTGATCCATACAGAATAAGTTGTGAGGACTTTTATTTTTGCTTGAGCTATGATAACTGATAGTTTGAAAATTGAATGTTTTCCGGTTGCTTCCTCATATTTCAACTAATGAGTGGTGCAGCTGGTGTTAATATGTGAAGAACATGTCCTTGAAAACGTTAGATTCTTATCTGTTATCCTTTTGCCCTGCTGTATGCATGCTTGCTAATCAGTAGGTAACTCTGGGTTGGAATTTGGGCAGTGATTGCTGCAGACAAAAATGGGAGCAAACACTCAGCATCACAATAGCTGCCCATAGAATTAGGTCACTAACAGGCTTTCAGCAAAATAATGTTAATTTTTCTCTCCACACACTCAAACACTGAAGGTATATTTTGTAATTCCACGTCTTTTCTGAGTGATCCTCTAGTGTAGCATTCTTAGCAAGATATTATATATGAGTCTTTTAATTTCAGGTACCTCATGTGACTGTCCAGTTCAGCATTCAGTTCTCCCAAACTGAAGACTAAGGACTGAGCCTGTCACAGGCTCCTGCAGTTGGGCTCCTGCCAACAGTACAAATGTAAGTTTATGCATGCCTTTATTCATAAGCTAGAATTAGTCATCTACTTATGTGTTTGCAAATTCAAGAGCAATATGTGTGTATATGTGGTTACTGAGGCTTCTTATCTTGCATAAATCTGCAGTAACTCAGTCAGGGGCAGCACTCCATGGCTTTGAAATACCCTCTCATCAGAGGGCACAGGTGATCTCTGATGGCATTTAGCTGCTTGTTTCATGGGGCTTAAGAATTAAGATGAGTAAGGTGCTGCAATATAAACCCAGCTGTCTGATGAACTGACACTTCAATAACGGTTTAGCAGGTATTGGTAATAATTGCCCTGAGTCTATCTCTTCTTTTGAAATAATGTGCATTAATTTTTTGCCATTTTTAATGATAGTCAGTTGGTTTGGTTGGGGGTTTTTTTAATTCTCTTATTTGGAAAAAAAAAAGGATACTTGTTACTTGCATTCCTAGTACTTACATGTATCTCTGATCTTTTTAAGCCCTTCTCCTGTGGCTTGCAAATATTTCCTGCATATATATTGTTTTAAAGTCAAATACTTATGTCCCTGAGGTATATGCATTTTTACCTAAATATGTTTTGCATATATGATCTTTGTACAGATTTAGTGAGTAGCACTTTAGTATGGAAAGTTGCAGAAATGGGAAAGCATAGAACTCTCCAAAGTTGTCTTAGGTGGTATTATTCTTATAATACTATGTGAGTTCTAATGACTTGCTTCATGGTGAGATTGGCACAAGCTTTTGTAGAAGAGGTTTTCATAAAAGAAAGAAAAAGTAAGATGTTGGTGTTTCATACCATGAAATTTACATTAAAGGTTTTTCAGGTCTCTGGATTTAGACAGGTAAACTTGTAAGAATGTGCTTGGCCTTGTGCCTCGTGTATCATGTATCTGGATGGGCCTGTTTTAGGTGCATGAAGAGCAGAATTTTTCCTAAGGAAATTCTGTTCCTACTGGAATAGAAGCTAAAAATAAACTGAAGCAGAACATGTCATTCATGTACTTACACCAAAAGGTTAGTTCTCCAGTTGATGCTCTCTTCAGGTTCCCCTTGCACCCATGTTCTCTTCCCCATGTCTGGGCACCTCAATCTGCAGCCACCAGAGAGACCATTGAGAATTGCTGCACGTCTCTCATTCCCACAGTTGGACTTGCTCAGCACTTTGGAAACAATAGCTGTTTCATTGCTGAGTTGTGAAACAAAAAAGTTAAACTTATCGGCAACAATGCATGAAAAATGTGATGAACAGCCTTCCACAGGAGGAGATTTTTCCATTCTGCTGTGTAGGTATACAGAATTTATTGGTGTCAGAAGCTAATAAGTAAGAAATCCTTCTTCTTTTGTACGTTATCTGCCAGCTCAATGCTGAGAGAAGTAAACTGTAAGATTTACTAATAATAGCAGGAAGGAAGAACCCTGTTAAACAAAGATAGAAAACTTGGACTGACTTGTGTGTGTAAAATGCAAGGTTGTTTTTTCCTCTCCTCAGCCTTTTTTTATAGTCAACCTTCAGAAGCTAAAAAAAAAGAACTTCAGGAGGTGAATCTCGCTTTCAAGGGAGGATTGAGGGAGAAGGAGCAGATGCAAGTTGCAGATGCTGTAGTGATGGTCATGTGAAAGTGATGTGAGATGTGACCCTGAAAATTTCTGTTTTGTTTTCTCATTCGAAGTGTGAATCACCTCAGGAGAGACTTGTGGAACTGAATCACTCTATGTTCTATTAGTAGCAGTCTCAATTTTGTATGAGCTGCTTTCAGTTTTAAATGGGGTGCAGCAGACGCTGCTGTCTAAGCACTTGCTGGTGGATTATACACAGGTACTCGATTTACTGCCCTTCCTAAGCTCTAAAAGAGACAGCAAAACATTGCTTTATTTTACAGCAATAAAAATTATGGGTCCTAACCATCTTGCATATTATTTTAAAATGTTCATATCTTCATTGCTTTGTTTCTTTCACTGAGCATTATTTTAATGATTCAGAGTTTGATCTAGCAGAGTACTTTTATAACAGTCCATTCTGAGACCCTCCATGAAACACCTGAAGAGCTTTGAGGAAAATAAAGAAACTTCCTAATATAAGATAACTCCACCAGCAGACAAAACGTAAACTTTTCATTTAGATTATTCTGAATATACTTAGGAAGTTCTTTGCATCTCTTTTTTAGTGGAACTGAGAGATCTCAGTCTATGTTTGAATCCTATTTGAAATAATTTAGCAGAAATTGAAAAGAAAATTTGAACTTTATGTTTTCTTTTTATGCAATGCTCTTCCTAAACTGAATGATCAGTCTTAATTTATTTGACATGGAAAGTCAGGTGTTAATTTAATTGTAAAACAACTACATCTTGTGCCTTTGGCATTACAGTAAATTATTTATTTCGATTAGGGCAATACGGTTAAGGAAGTGCGGCATGTTTGTAGAGGGGATAACATCAAGGAGCACACTAAAACTGAGATGAAATTCGGTGGTTTTTAGCAGCATCTGAGTGTATTAGAGGGGTAGAAAGGATAAAATGAATGAATCAGTTTATATTGAGATACTGGGTTGCTAGCTGTGCTGCTACAAGATACACAAGTGCACCATAAATCCTTTGCAGGGATCTGGGGACCTCTGTGAGAGGAGCAGAGTGGACAAGGAGGAGTAATATTAGCTTCAGACAGCTGAATTAGGTGTGCCTGCATGACTTTTGGGTCCATAGCTCCAGTGAAGGCTGTGAACAGCTAGAGGATGAGGGGGTACTGGTACCATGAGCAACTGTGCATTCTGAGTACTTAAGATTAATTTCTACACTTTGATGCCTTAAAAGGAGGATATGCATGTGTATGCATAAGAGAAAAACTCAAGGGGAGTAAGGTACAACTAAAACAGCCTGTAAAAGAAATAAAGAAGTTCAACTTCTATCTAATTACACATGGACAGGCTTGTTCTGATAATGTCATATTATATTGTAGACCTTCCTTCTTTGTCTTTGGGAGGGGAATAGCAGCATTCAGGGCCACCTGGGAGTGGAGCAGAGAGTAAAGCATTTGCCCACCCCAGTGGAAGGGTAGCCTACACATAATAACATTTCTGCAGTATGTCGTCATGTGATATGTCGCATACTTACTAAGAGTGGAAATACAGCAGGGCATGAGAGCTTTTAAAGTCTCAACAAAGATTACTACAATGGGAATTTATCAGAAAATATAGATCTGTAGTTTCAGGGATTGCCCATTTCCTTGATTAGTAAAAGAAATCAATTTATTTCTCGTAAGTGACTCTCATTCCTTGCATTCACTCTAAAAGGATATCACATAACTATTGCTCCTTTTTCTCAATATATTATTTAGTGTGAAAGCCGCATTTCAGCATTCAGTCTATTTATATGCTGTTTGTACACGTGGAGCCAGACTTTCTTTGGATTTGGTTCATTGTACCTTAAAAATAATTTGAATACCACAGGTTTCATTGTAAACAATGAAGGATTGCAGCCCTCGGGTCATTGCCAGTTGTTTAAAAAAATCGCACTTGGAATTACTTCAATAACTATCAGTGTTCTCTTATAAAACTAATTAGGCTTTTCCTGTGATGGAAAGAAGATTAAAGGTCATATAGTCCAAAATAAGTTTTTGGACATTGCCAGATTAAGGAAAATAAATTCTTTCGTTAATTAGGTCAATGTATGTAATGTTTTATTAGTTCATAAGGATGTATAAGCTGAAAAGAACTGGCAGGGACAGAGTTATGCAGATAACATGACTGATAAGGAACAGCAATTTTATTGTGCAGTCCTCTTTGTAAAATCTGAGTGATATGGTCTGGCCCTTGAACCTCATATGGAATAAAGCGCGGTTGACATTGTGGGCAAATGACATTTTCCTCTGAAGACTTGCTGTCTTGAGAACTACCTAGAGGCTAACAGTACACCCCCTCCCAAAACTGAAATGTGCTTTGGAATAATTGGTTTTGAGTTTTGCTTCAGTTCTGTGTCGGTAAAATGCAGTAAGCACTGGAGAAGTGGGAAACATTCTCTGTGGGTTTTCTTTGGATTCTTGGTTTATATACTGCAAAAAAATGTGGATGCATTTGTTTCTATGCTCTGCACCTGTATTAAGTACTAAAAAGGCAGAGTGGGTAGCCATCACAGTCATGATAAGAGGCATTTTTTATGTATGCAAAGTCAGACTTGTGTGCCTTTGCTCACTGTGCTTATTCCATGCTGTGTTGCAGAGCACAAGAATTCAAGGAAATGTGTCGACCATGAGGTCACCAAATTCAAGCATATCAGGAAATATGTGTAGCTGTATCAGATTTACACAAATACATCCTTCACCTCCAAGCAATATTAGTTTGTCAGTTGTAGCAAGTATCAAGAAAATTTTTTGAATGGGTTAAAACACGAGTGTGTAAATGACTCTGAGCCGTTTCCTTATTCTGCACAACACAATAGCCTAGGAGATCAAAAGTTTTCTTTTGGCCAGCAGTGTCCCCTAACCTTCACCCTTTGCTTTGTTCTTTGTTGAGATGATTAGGTGGTTTCCATCTGCACTTCGATGGGAGAAGAATCTGTGCTTGTTAATTTGAGCTGACTTCCTAAGGAAGTTGGACTTATCTGATCATGTGTTTTCTGTCCCTTTTACCCCTGCAATAACCTTTGGACACGCTGCTTAGGTTCAGTTCACTCAGGATGAGGAGATGAGGTCTCAGCATACCGTGTCCTAACAAGCTTGGTGAAACCCTGCGGCTGGATGGAGAAACCGTGCTGAGGAAATGGCTGCAGAGTGAAGTCAACCTTTACTGAACTGAAATCCAGACCTCTCTAGCGTGCCTTCTCTGATCTCTAATAAGCCTTAGGGGTAATCTATAATAACATTGGCCTAATATGTAATAACAATAAATCATGAACAGGCTTGCAGATATCCCAAAACATATTTAGTCTATTTTTGGTAGTATTCGGGTTCACTGTGTTTCTCAGAAGAGTTTGTTTTTTTTGTTGTTACCATCTGGAGAGCA